CCAGGCCCACTCTGGCCGTAGCGGCGGTGCTCTATCGGGGCCTTCTCGTCCGATGCATCGGCCAGGTCGATGCTACCCGCCCCCGCGAGCTGCCCCCCCCCCCCCCCGCTCCCCCATACGTACGCAGACATGCGGTGCCCGTTTTTTTTTTTTTCACTACGGGGTCCCCGGAAGTCCCGGCCCTTTCCCCGGGACCAGTGTTTCATCCCGGACCGCTTTTCGACAGCCCCACAGTCCGGTAAGAGCCCCCAGAGGCCCCACGGGTGAACGGGATCTCATACAACGCGAGGGCGATGTTGGCCGAGCTTGGTGAGAACAAAGTCTTGGAGTTGACCATTCGCAGAGCCAGATCCGTGTAGCGAAAAAAAGAGTGGCCCCTGAGATCATGGCGCTGCGATTGTTTCACAAACGGGGCATTTTTTCGTCCAGATTCGCGCCATGGGGGCCCTCACAGATCGATGCGGCTCGAAAAGCATGCCGCAGAAAGGTGGGGTCCCCAATCATCCGCCGGTGTGATTCCCAACCATCCTGTGTTGGGTCTTCGTTTTGAGGAGACAGCGCCCGCGTTCCTCCCCCTCCTCCTCCTCCTCCTCCTCCTCCTCCTCGTCCTCCTCCCCCTCCTCCCTCCTCCCCCTACTTGCCTCTGCCCTCCGCACTCCCATTTCGGCACATTCCTCACACGGTTCGTGGCCGCAGAGGGAGCTCCCTTGAAGGCCCCAGTGGCCGCGTCCGCATGCGTCCTCCCCGCCCACCGCATGTCCATTCTGGCATACCCCTCACCGAAGGCCCCAGTGGCCGCGTCCGCATGCGCCCTTCCCGCCCACCGCATGTCCGTGCCGACACACCTCTCCCACGGTTCGTAGCCCCATAGGGAGCTCCACCGAAGGCTCCAGTGGGAGGGGTCGCATGACAGCACCGCGCCCAATTCGGCACTCCACTCACACGCTCATACGGTTCGTGGCCCCATAGGGAGCTCCACCGAAGGCTCCAGTGGGAAGGGTTCGCATGGCACACCCTCTCACACGACTCGTGGCTCCAGAGGATGCTCCATCGAAGGCTCCAGTGGGAGGGTCCGCATGGAAGCACCGCGCCCAATTCGGTACACCCTCTCACACGACTCTTGGCTCCAGAGGATGCCCCACCGAAGGCTCCAGTGGGAGGGTTCGCATGGCAGCACCGCGCCCAATTCGGCACGCCCCTCACACGGTTCGTGGCCCCATAGGGAGCTCCACCGAAGGCTCCAGTGGCCGTGTCCGCATTCATCCTCCCCGCCCACCGCATACCTATTTCGGAACACCCCTCACACGGCTCGTGGCCCCCTAGGAAGCTCCACTGAAGGCCCCAGTGGCCGTGTTCGCATGCGCCCTCCCCGCCCACCGCATGTCCATTTTGGCATACCCCTCACACGGCCCGTGGCCGCATGCCCCATAGAGAGCTCCAACGAAGGCCCAAGTGGCCGCGCCCGCATGCGCCCTCCCCGCCCACCGCATGCCCATTTCGGCACACCCCTCACACGATTCGTGGCCCCATAGGGATTTCCACCGAAGGCTCGAGTGGGAGGGTTCGCATGTCACCACCACATTCAATTCGGCACACCCCTCACACGGTTCGTAGCCCTATAGGGAGTTCCACCGACGGCTCCAGTGGGAAGGGTTCGCATGACACCACCGCGCCCAATTCAGCACACCCCTCGCATGTTCGTGGCCCCATGGGGAGTTCCGCCGAAGGCTCCAGTGGGAGGGTTCGCATGGCAGCAGCGCACCCAATTCGGCACGCCCCTCACACGTCTCGTGGCTCCAGCGAATGCTCCACCGAAGGCTCCAGTGGGAGGGTTCGCATGGCAGCACCGCGCCCAATTCGGCACGCCCCTCACACGGTTCGTGGCCCCATAGGGAGCTCCACCGAAGGCCCCAGTGGCCGCGTCTTCATGCGCCTTCCCCGCCCACCGCATGCCTATTTCGGCACACCCCTCACACGGCTCGTGGCCCCATAGACAGCTCCACCGAAAGCCCCAGTGGCCGTGTCCGCATTCGCTCTCCCCGCCCACCGCATACCTATTTCGGAACACCGCTCACACGGCTCGTAGCCCCCTAGAGAGCTTCACCGAAGGCCCCAGTGGCCGTGTTCGCATGCGCCCTCCCCGCCCACCGCATGTCCATTCTGGCATACCCCTCACACGGCCCGTGGCCGCATGCCCCATAGAGAGCTCCAACGAAGGCCCAAGTGGCCGCGCCCGCATGCGCCCTCCCCGCCCACCGCATGCCCATTTCGGCACACCCCTCACACGATTCGTGGCCCCATAGGGAACTCCACCGAAGGCTCGAGTGGGAGGGTTCGCATGTCACCACCACATTCAATTCGGCACACCCCTCACACGGTTCGTAGCCCTATAGGGAGTTCCACCGACGGCTCCAGTGGGAAGGGTTCGCATGACACCACCGCGCCCAATTCGGCACACCCCTCGCATGTTCGTGGCCCCATAGGGGAGTTCCGCCGAAGGCTCCAGTGGGAGGGTTCGCATGGCAGCAGCGCACCCAATTCGGCACGCCCCTCACACGTCTCGTGGCTCCAGCGAATGCTCCACCGAAGGCTCCAGTGGGAGGGTTCGCATGGCAGCACCGCGCTCAATTCGGCACGCCCCTTACACGGTTCGTGGCCCCATAAGGAGCTCTACCGAAAGCGGTACCCACAATGCGGTACTCGGAGCTGCATCTGGTTGGGCCTTTCGTCGGGCTATTTTTTTTTTCAATCTGCGGCCCCAGAGGTCCCGACCCCTTCCCCAGGGGTGTTCTTTCGTGCCAGATCCATTCCTGATGGCCTCCAGGCCCGATAACGGGCCCCAGAGGCCGAAATCCAGGAATAACCGCCAGATTGAAAATATCATATCTTCGGATCTCTGGGTCCGGGGCTCTGGTCGTGATTTTGCGCGATGTTGCAACTTTTTGGCAGCGTCGGCTCTCGGGGGCAGCAGCCTGTAGAGTGCCCTTGCTCTGGCTACTGGGCCTCACGCGGCGCGCCAGTGAGACCTTCGCTGCGCCCTCCCCCCGTACCGGAGTGGTCCCGGGTGCGGAGCGGACGAACCCTGAGATTCTGGAGTGCAATTGTTTCACAACGGGCGTTTTCGCTCCATGTCTGGCTCCGGGTCCCTCACAAGATGGGGTCCGGGGCTCTGGTCGTGATTTTTCGCGATGCTGCAACGTTTCTGCAACGCCAGATCTAAGGGCCCGCCCGCCCGCCCTCTGCACGGCGGCAGGGGTGGGCCCGGAGGGTGCGGGCAAGATTGCGAAGACCTCCCGGGCGGTGCCGCCGACCCTGAAGGGGGGCGACGACGGCGACGACCTCGACAACGTCGCCGCCGCCGCCGACGACGACCACGAGGACAACGACGACGACGTTGAACACGACGAGGAGGACGACCACGACGACGACGACGAGGACGACGACGACGACGACGACGACGACGACGACGACGACGACGACGACCACGACGACGACGACGACGACGACGACGACGACGACGACGACGACGACGACGACGACGACGACGACGACGACGACGACGACGACGACGACGACCACGTCGGATCTCAGGGACCTGCCCCCTCCCCTGAGGTGCCCTCCCGCCTGGCCGCGCCGGCCCGAGCGGCTTGGCCTGCGGCCCAGCACGCCCCTGCCAGGGGAGTCACATCTCGTCGGCGCGCGCCAGAAGGGAGTGGGACGAGAGGGGGCGACTCCCGTCAGAGGAGGATCCAGACCCCCCTCGAGTCATGAAAAATCACGACGGGCGTTTTTTCGCTATTTTCGGCCCCTGGGGGCCCTCGCCGGCCCTCGGGACCATCAAGAAACGACTCAGGATGAAGAACCGGTCCTGTGGAATAGGTCCAGACCTCTCGGGGCCGCGTCATGAAGAATTCACGACGTCGGGGGTCTGGGAAGGAGGCACTTTTACCGCTGCCCTTGCCCCGTTTCTGATTTTACGAGAGGGGGCGACTCCCGTCAGAGGAGGAAGAGGCACCGATACCTCCACCCTTGCCCCGTTTTCGCCTTTTTGGGGCCTCCCGGGATTCAGGCCTTCGTGGCCACTGCTGGGTTCGCCTCGAATGGTTAGGGCGCGCTCGGGGAAGCAGCGGTATCTTTAACGATCGTTTTGCCACCTTGGCCTCCAGAGCCGAGAAGAAGCGAGTGCCAGGGTTCAGTCGGGCCTGTACACCCTCTACAGGAGTAATATTCAAATCTAGTCGAAGAATACTGGGGACGATGTTTGGTACCATTTTTGACTGTTGCTGAGCATGTTTTTGACTATCTGTAGATTTTCCTCCCAAAGCCGCCTGTAGGAGGGCATGCCGATGCCCGACCTGATGCCAGGGGCCTCTCAAGGGGGCCGGCCTGAGGCTGTGCTCGGGAGGCGGCAGGGCCTCTGAGAGGCCCCGCGCCCTGCTCCAAAGGTCCCCCCCCCTCGCCCTCGTCGCGAGCAGTGGCGAAGCGTCCCAGCTTGCTTCCCAGACCCCCTCGAGTCATGCAAAAATCACGACGGAAGGTTTTTCGCTATCTCTGGCTTTTGGGGGCCCTTCCCGGCCCTCGGGACCGCCAAAAAACGACTCGGGATGAAAAACCGGTCCTGGGGAATGGGTCCGGACCTCTGGGGGCCGCGTCATGAACAAAAATCATGACGTCGGGTGTCTGGGTTACAGGCCCACCAGAGAATGTTCTAAGAACCTTTTGTGCTCTGCGCGAGAGGTTCTAAGAGCATCTCTGGCCGAGACTGTCTTGTTTTGACACATCGGGCTCATGTTCAAAGAGTACGGCTTCTGTTCTTAGAACATCTTTGGGTTCTAGTAGCATATCGTGGCAGGTCTATAAAGGAATGCCGGGGCGGCCGGTCACTGCTCAGCATCCCCTCGTGCGCGCCGTCAATCACACTTGCATACGGAGCTTCCTCGGCGAAGGCGATGAGGGCGCTGTTTGCCCTGTTCGCCCTGGGGCCTGTGGCCTCCGCCCTGCAGCTCCAGTACGACGATGAGTCCATGGCCGCGGGCGCCATGATCTCCGAAGCAGACGCGCTCCTGCAGGCTGAGATGGCGAGCGAGGTCGATGCCTTCCTCGCTGGCGAATCCGTCGACGAGACCTCCATCGAGGATCGGCGGCGAGCGAGGGGGGGCAGTGAGAAGGAGAGGGCCTCTCAGAAGGTAGCGGGTCTTCTCAAAAGCCCCCAGGGCCCCCTGAGAGGTCTTCTGTGTCTTCGCGGAAGTCTTAGAACTCTTCTCAGAAGGCCAGGGAACTTCCGAGCCTTCTGAGCAGGCCCGCCTCCTCTCCACTTCCCTTCCTGGCTGGCCCGGAGGAAGAGGAGGAGGGAGGAGGAGGAAGAGGAGGGGGAGGAGGAGGAGGAGGAGGGGGAGGAGGAGGAGGAGGAGGAGGAGGAGGAGGGGGATGATGATGATGATGATGATGATGATGATGATGATGATGATGATGATGATGATGATGATGATGATGATGATGATGATGATGATAATGATGAGATGATGATATGATGATGCTGATGATGATGATGATGATGATGATGATGCTGATGATGATGATGATGATGATGATGATGATGATGGTGATGGTGATGAGCTGCTGCTGATGATGATGGTGATGATGATGATGATGATATGCGATGCTGCTGCTGCTGCTGATGATGATGAGGAGGAGGAGGAGGAGGAGGAGGAGGAGGAGGAGGAGGAGGAGGAGGAGGAGGAGGAGGAGGAGGAGGAGGAGGAGGAGGAGGAGGAGGAGGAGGAGGAGGAGGAGGAGGAGGAGGAGGAGGAGGTGGAGGAGGTTGGCCGCCGATGGGCGGCCCCCTGGGCTGGCCGCCGAGAGGAGCTGGCGCGCGAGCTGGCGGGCAACGACACCGAGGCGCCCGCCGCGCAGGCCGCCCCGGAGGCTGAGGGCGCGCCCGCCGCGGAGGCTGCCCTGGCGGCCGACGCCCCCGAGAGGGCTGCGGCCAATGCGTCGGAGGGTGCCGCGGCCATCGGGTCGACTCAAAAGGGTCGGGCCGAACGAAGGGGGGGGGGGATAGGGAAAGGGGGGGTTACGAAATCTGCTGCATGCATGCAGCTGGTCTCGGCCCCGCCGCCGGGCCCGTCCCTCTATAAATGGCCGCCTCCCGGCGCCGGGAGGCGCCGGGAAACTCAGCTACGTGAGCTGATTCTCAAACCCCCCTTTTGCTATCCCCCCCTTTCGCCCGGCCCGGAAGGGGGTCCAGCGACACGGGGGTGGTGCAATATACTCGATGCAGTAGATCTGTGGGGTTTGCAATGCATTTGGGGCGCGCGATAATTTTTTGGGGGCGCAGATGTCTTGCTGCATTTTCGCGTGCAATGCATTTTGCTTGCAAGACAGTGCAAAACATTTCTCCGGCGCAGTACACTTGCAATCGAATTGCCCCAAATCTATTGCACCACCCTCTTTCAGCTGGACCCCCTTTTGAAAGGCCAGTTCCGAGGGGGCCGGCAACGCCTCGGAGATGCAGGCCCCGGGGGAGGGGTGCTCGAAGAGGAAACTACACCATAAACGTAGGCTTTTGGTGCTCCGCGCGTATTTCTCGGATCCTCGCTGGACCCCCCCTGGCGGCGCCTCTGGCGCCGCCCCTGGCGCGCTCACGCTCCGCGCACCAGGGAGGGGTCCCAGCGCGGATGCAAGACAGCCGCGCGGAGCGCCAGAAGTGTAGGCTCATGCCGTTTTTTCCTCTTCGAGGTGCTCCCATACCGCTACCCGTCCCCCGTTTTCCCCTCTGTCGGCCTCCTGGGCGGCCCTCGGCGCCACCGCTGGATTCGCCTCGACATTCTGGTCAGGACGTTGCACGGGAGAGGTCCGGGGAGTAGCGGAATCGGTACTTGTTGGTTTTCCCAAGGTCGATGAGAACCAGAGCAGGGCCAATTTGTCCACGTACTTCGACCCGAAGCTGATGGCCATATTCCGGGAGAAGCAGGCGCACCTGAAGGAGACGATGAAGGATTGGCAAGGCTCAGAATACGCAGGGTTCCTCTCAGACGGCCCCCTGAGGTAGTCTTGGCTGGCCTCAACGGGCCCCAGGGCAGTCTGTGATGGCGTTCGACATGAGCCAACGCTGGGGCGAGGAGCGCCCATGGAGGCGCCGCTGAAGGCGGCGCCAGGGTCTGTGGGGCCGCCCCGTGTCACCCCGGGTGCCCGTTGATGCCCAGCGGGAGTGCCCCCCCGGGGGGGCCGTCCGTGCGCAGCCCCGGTCCTTGCCGTGAAGGACTTCATGGTGTCGAAGAAGGAGCTGGACGTGGCCAAGCTGGCCGCGAACCTGGCGATGAAGAAGCTGAGGCGTGCCGGCCAGCTGGCCGGCGAAGAAACTGAGGGGGTCGGCCAGAGGCGGCCTCGGCCCGGGCGTCTTCGAGCCCTGCCCAGCCCCTTGCCCTGATCAGCATCCTGCGGAGCTTGGCGGGAGGAGGAGGAGGAGGAGGAGGAGGAGGCGACGGGCCCCCCCTGCGCAGCCCCACCTGGCCTCCACAGGCCCCACGGACAGCCTGGGGCAGTCCCAGCACCCCGGCGCCGCCTCCAGCGGCGCCCCAGGGGCGCTTCGCGCCCCCAGGCTGAGGTGCTGCGACCGCCCCAGAGTTCTTACTCGGGGGGCCTGGCGAAGCCATCCGGGACGACTCCTGGGTCGGGCATGTCCTCCTACAGGCAGAAGGTGGACGGCAAATTTTAGAAGTCAGACAATACCCCCCACATGGTCAAACGTATTGGAGCAATCGTCTCCATAGTATTATTATTATTAGTATTATTATTATTATTATTATTAGGACTATGTTTGAATATTTTTCCTTTAGATGGACATACCCGACTTAAGGCTACTCTTAAGTCGGGTCTGTCTTTCCGTTGGAGGAATATGCAAACAAAGTAAAGACGTACTCCAGGGACAATTGTTTGACGAATTGTTTTTTGACCATTTGGGTGTATGACTTTTTGTTCGTAGTTTGTATTTGTTGTCCATAATCCGCCTGTAGGAGGACATGCCCGACCAAATTCTATGCTTTCGGGCCTGTCCCTCTACAGGAGGAGTGTTCTAAAAGTAGTCAAAAATAGCCAGGGGACGATTTTTTGAGTATTTTTTGTATTTTTGCATATTCATTGTTCGTCCAAGATTCGCCTGTTGGGGGGACATGGCCGACCTGATGGTGCCCCTTTCTGCAGTGGAGGCCCATGCCAAGAAACACCCTGCTTGCCTCCAGGGTGCCCTGGGTTTCTTGGGTCGAGATGGGTCGAGATCTGCGGGGTCCACGGTGCGAGCAGCAATCACGACGTCGGGGTCGGTGCGTTCTTTCGGCTGGGGAAGTGGTGTCGGGCCCTTAGAGCAGCTTCAGAAGCGACCCGCGCGGGCTTCTTATATCTGCGCTGGCCCCCTTGGCGGCCCCTGCGTCACGGTCCAAGGCCGGTCCAAGAAATCCGCAGTTTTTTGTCCCATGAGTGGGAGCAGTAAGATACAGTGGGGGCCCATGCCAAGAAACACTCTGCTTGCCTCCAGGGTGCCCTTCGGTTTCTTGGGTTTCGATGGTTTTGCGATGGAGAGCGCGGCGTTCCCACCAACAAAAATCGATGGACGTCCTGGGGGCTCAGGTTTGGGTTTCTTGTGGAAGGTTTCTTGTGGACTGGCTTCCAGTGTACCCCTTTCTATACTCGGGGAACTGCGTAAGCATACATTTTCGGAACTCCGCGTCGATTTCTTGGATGTGCGCTGGACCCCCTGGCGCCCTCCACGCGCCAGGTGGTGGGGTCCAGAGGCCGATCCAGGAAATCCGCGCGGAGTTCCGAAAGTTTGTGTTTCTGTTCTTCCGATTGTTCCTTACTGGTCCGTCTCTTCAGACGTGGGTCAACAATAGCAGCATCCGGTGAGAACTCGGCCCGACAGCAGGTGCCCCGCGGGAGCTTCGGATCCCCCGATGCCCCCAGGGACCCACGGAAGCTCTGGGGCACCTTCGAACCCTCAAAGGTCGACGAGTACTGTGCCCCAGGGCCGGACCTGAACGCTGTTTTCTGCTGGACTTCTGCTGGGTTGTGTTTTTTCCGTGTTAGGACACGAAAGCAGGCAGGGCATAACGAACAACAAAACGAACACGATACGAAAAACAACGTTCAGGTCCAGCCCTGCTGTGCCCTACGATTTCTTCTGGCGCGCTCCCTTGCTGCTGCGGCCCCTCCTTGTGCCCCGCCGGGCCGTCGCCCCTGGCCCCTGGCCTGGCCGAGGCTGGCGACCGAGAAGCGGAGGAAGATCCTGATGGGCGAGAGGACCTCGGGGCCCTCGGGGAGCACCAAGCCCTCTGAGCCAGGGAGGAGGAGGAGGAGGAGGAGGAGGAGGAGGAGGAGGAGGAGCAGGAGGAGGAGGAGGATCACAGGTTTCGGCGATCGGCACTTTCTGCCCATGCACACCTGCTGCGCCTGGAGAACATGTCGATCGCACGTGTTTGAACGTCTCCGACGCTGTTGGGCGCGCGTGGCTGCTTCTCCCGAGTGCCTCCGGAGCCCCCCGCAGGGGACCGCTGGAGGCGTCCAGGGACCCCCAGTCGCCCTGGGGGATCTCCAGAGACCTCCTGAGGCCCCCGAAGACCTCTGGACGAGGAGCCCGAGGGGGGCTTTCGCAGCATGTTTTCCCACGCTTTCGGCGGTTTCCGGACGCCGCGGGGTACCTGCCGACAGCCTCAGCACAGCAGTGCTGACTGTGCGCCACGATCAGCTGGAGGAGGTCGAAATGGACGAGGAGGAGGGGGAGGGGGAGGGGAATGGGAGGGGGGAGGGAGGAGGAGGAGGAGGAGGAGAGGAGGAGGAGGCAGGAGGAGGAGGAGGAGGAGGAGGAGGAGGAGGAGGCAGGAGGAGGGAGGAGATGGAGGAGGAGGAGGAGGAGGAGGAGGAGGAGGAGGAGGAGGAGGAGGAGGAGGAGGAGGAGGAGAGGAGGGGGAGGAGGAGGAGGAGGAGGAGGAGGAGGAGGAGGAGGAGGAGGAGGAGGAGGGTCGAGGTGGGTCGAGATCTCCGGGGTCCACGGTGCGAGCAGAAATCACGACGTCAGGGGTCTGGGTATGTTCTTTCGTCTGGGGGAGTGCTGTCGGGCCCTTGGAGCAGCTTCAGAAGCGACCCGCGCGGACTTCTTGGATCTGCTGTGGCTCCCTTGGCAGCCCCTGCGTCACGGTCCAAGGCCGGTCCAAGAAATCTGCAGCTCTTTGTCCCATGAGTGGAAGCAGCAAGATACAGTGGAGGCCCGTGCCAAGAAACACTCTGCTTGCCTCCAGGGTGCCCTGGGCTTTTTGGGTTTCGGTGGTTTTCCTAAGAAAAGCGTGACGTTCCCACACCAAAAATCAATGGACGTCCTGGGGTCTCAGGGTTGGGTTATTTGTGGAAGGTTTCTTGTGGACTGGCTTCCACTGTATCACCACAGCGAAGAAAACCAGCCAGGCAGTTCCACTGATCCCGGCCAGCCCATTGCCGGGCCAAGGATCGGTGTGCATGTGCCACTTCCTGGCCAGACCAGCAGCTGGCGCACTCACCGCTGCTGGGCCCGGGGTTGGCCGGCCCAGCATCGGAGGCCTCGAGGTTGACACCAATACCAATATCGGCGATGTGCCTCCACCGAGGGGAGATGATCCCGATCTCGGTGATGGTGGTAATATTCGGGCTTGCAAGGTGGCCAGAAGATTACCACCAACACCAAAAGCTAGGATCACCTTCCCCTGGTGGAGGCAACCCTCGGTGTTGGTGTTGGTGCCCACTTCTAAGCCTCCGACAGCATCGCTGCGGGTGGACGGGTGGATGGGTGGCGCCCTCTGAAGGATGGCCGAGGCCGAGGAGCGCCGTGCGATGAAGGAGAGCCGGCGACAGGCGAAGACGGACATGACGGCGCGCGCGGAGCAGCTGCTGGAGGACTCACTGGGTGGCCTTGCGGGCGTCAACATGAGCTACATGGTGGACGTCGTCCTCGCCCTGCCGGAGGCGCTGCAGGACGATGAGTTCGTGGAGGACTTCCGCAACGTGACGAAGAGGGTGGACGTGAACGTCCGGAAGTTCTTGGATCAGACCCAGCAGAAGACCACCCAGTTCGTCAAAGACAGCACCTCCGCCTCTGACGTGGAATTGCGCTTCATCATGGCGAAGTTCTTCCACGAGTCGGGCTTCCGCCTCCGAGGGCTCCACCAGGACAGCCTGAAGGCAATTCAGATGCTCAGGCGCTCTGTCCCAGAAGACCTGGAGAGGGCGCTCTTCCCATTCCTCGGGCAGCTGAACGCCAACACTGTCCGCCTCAGGATCAATGCCACCAGCCTGGCCACTGCCACCCCGAAGGAGGCGTGTGGTGGGGAAGTGGGGGCGCGGCCAGGCGGGGGTGGGAGATGGATGGGAGGGAGGGAGGGGGAAGAGAGAGAGAGAGAGAGCGAGGGATAGGCACATATCTATCTCTATTTATTTATCTATTTCACTTATTTATTTATTTATTTATATTTATATATATATATATATATTTAGTCACGTCGGCTTCATGTCGTGTGCGCGGGCCAGGTGCGCTGCGCTGTGCGAGGGCGATGACGTGGTGGCCAAGCCCAGGGCCAAGCCGGACGAAACGACCCCGCTCCCATGTCTCGCGGGGCCGTCTCTTGGGCTGACCTTGGGAGTGCCGTGGTTGGTTCGCGGGTTTGTCCCGTGACTGTTCTGCGGGTTGTCGCATGGGTTGTCGTGTGGGTTGTCCCATGCGTTGTCCCGTGGTTGTTTCGTAGGTTGTTTCGCGGGTTGCCCCGTGGTTGTTTTCGCTGCTTGTCACGTGGTTGTCCCGTGCACTTGTCCCGTGCAGTTGTCCCTTGGTTGTCCCGGGGTATCGGAACTGTGCAAGTCCAATTGAAGACACAGTTGATTTATATTTTGATAGTTGGATCGATCACGAACAGCATACATCGTCGTGACAACAAGGGTTATGTTTATGTGGTCTGCAGGCACATGACTGACGACTGGCGAAGTAGGTGGAGTGGGCGGAGTAGAAGTTACTCCGCGCGGACGCGCATCACGCCCCGTTTTTCATGATAGATTGGGCAGAGTATTTTCCGATCCAGTTTTGAAACAACACACATTAATCCTTAATAGCGGGGGCCCGAATTATTGCGCGGGAGCGCAGAAGCAGCCTGCCCATTCTAGGGATCTTCAGAGGAACCAGAGATGTCAACATCACACCAAACCGCATAAAACTTTGTTAGGGCAGTGTCGGGCACCCTTCGGGTCATAAGAAGGTTGTGTGTGGTCAGGTTGTGTGTTGTCGGTGTGTGGAGGGGGTGGTTTTGTCGGGGTGGGGTTTGACGGGGTGCGGGGCGGTGGGTGGGGGGTGGGTGGGGAGGCATTCGCGATTCGATCTATATGTAGCGGTTGAATTTCGTGCTGTATGTCGTTTTTGATATTGGTTGCGACTAGGTTCGCATGCCGGCTCGCTTTTCACGTGGATTAGACTTCCGCTTGCGCATGGAATTGCGTTCCGAAGTGCAGTTCGGTTTGCATTCCCATCGCAATGTGATTTGCATTTTGATGTCCAATTCGGATAAGATTTCGAGTGCCAGTTGGTTCGCCACGTCGGTTTGCACCCATCTGGTCATCTCGGTATGCGTGCTCTCGTTTTGACAGGTGACAGGTTGTAGCACGTTCGTTTCCTTCCTGGTAAGAGAGCGCAGGACTACAAACATAGTTAGTATATGGAAGGCTGCACGAGTGGTACTTCAGAAAATCATTATCGTACATGCAGTGGTACCAGTCAGACTAGAGAGGCGATACATACATATGTATGTGTATATATATATTGTACAAACCGTAGTCTGTTATGTTCTAATATATTGTATTGTATTATAGTATAGTACATTACGGTGTATTGTATTATATTTCGTCACGTTTGATTGTATTATTTTTTTGTTATAGTATACTATATTATATTTCATGGTCGCATATGTTTTTGTTTGATTCTGTTAACGTATATTGCACACTATACTATATATTATATTATTATACCGTATAGCTTATTGTTTTATGCTATACTGTATCATAGCATGTCATACTATAGACTAATATTAGATTAGACGATCTATCTGTGTATATATATATATACACATAGATATCCCCGTGCACGAGGCCCGGGCGCCCGGGGCCCGAGGGCGCATGGGAGGACCCGGGCCTCTCCCAGAGAGCACCCCAGAGCGGGCCCTGGAGCTCCCAGACTGCCCCCGAGAGCTCCGAGACGCTCCCAGAAGCCCCCGGGTCACCACCCACCGAACCACCCCAACCCAACCCGAAGGCTCAGATTTACCCTCGATTTCCAGTGGGGGGGGGGTCGGGTTGGGGTGGGGTTCCGAAATTCGGGTCTTCGGGTTGGGTTGGGGTGGTCTGGTAGGAAGCCCCCGGGGAACTTCGACAAGCCCCTCCAAGACAGCCCAGATAGCCCCAACGCGGCCCCAGGTGGGTGCCAGACCGGAACCACACAGCCCAAGAGGCCTCCAAGAGGCCTCAAGAGACTTCCGAGAGGCGTCCCGAGAGAGCCCGAAGAGGCCCAAATCCTTGATTTTCATTGTTTTTTTGGTTGTTCATATTTTTCGGTGTCTCGAGATTTCGACCTCCCGACGCTCCACGACAGCCGACGACGCCCCCAAGACCGCCCCAAGACCGCCGAAGAGGCCTCCAACAGAGCCCCAATACCGCCCCAGGGAGCCGGAAAATTGTCCGGGACGAGCATCAGATGGCCCAAGAGAGCCCCAGGACATGCCCAAGCTGGGCCCCAGAGCGGGAGCGGGAGGCCCCAAGGCGCTCCAAGACGGCCCTGATGGCCCCAACGTGGCCCCAGATGGGCCCAACACGGCCAATATACAGCCCAAGAGCCCTCCAAGAGGGCCCAAGAGCTCCGAGAGACGCCCCGAGAGAGCCCGAAGAGGGCCATATCCTTGATTTCCGGTTGTTTTTTCAAAGCTTCCAGCGATCCGAGGTGGCCGAAGACGCCCCGAAGATCGCCCCAAGACAGCAGAAGAGGCCCCAAAAAGAGCTCCAAGACGGCCCCAGAGAGCATGAAGGCTGCCCAAGAACAGCCCGAAATTGCCTAAGAGAATCCCAGGAGAGGCACACGATGGGCCCCAGAGCGGGAGCGGGAGGCCCCAGGGCGCTCCAGGACGGCCGAGATGATTCCAAAGTGGCCCAAGAGGAGCTCAAGACGGCAACACACACAGCCCCAAAGGCCTCCAAGAGGGCTCAAGAGAGCTCCGAGAGACGTCCCGAGAGAGCCCAAAGAGGCCCACATCATTGCGTTGCATTGGCTTGTTCGATGTTTTACTCTTTCTCGCGTTCTCGAGCTTCCAATGCTCGAAGACGGCCGCAGACGCCCCCAAGACCGCCCCGAGACCGCCGAAGAGGCACCCAAAAGAGCCCCAAACACGGCCCCAGGGAACCCGAAAATAGTCCAGGAGGAGCCCCAGATGGCCCAAGAGAGCCGCAGGACGGGCCCAAGCTAGGCCACAGAGCGGGAGCGGGAGGCCCCAGAGCGCTCCAAGACGGCCCAGTTGGCCCGGGCCTCCCCCCTCCGTCTCTCTTTCCCTCCCGCCAGCTCTCCTTGCCTTCATTCCCTCCTCTCTCCTCTTCCTCCCCTCACCCCTCAGCTTTCGTGCTCCTCCCTCCTCTCCTGGGACTGCCCGCCAGAGCGCCAGACAGGCCCCGCCAGAGCGAGCGGGGCATCGCTATACCCTATCATTTCACAAGTTGCTTTCCCCCTGCCACCCCTCTAGGGCGGCCCTGGCAGAGCGAGAGCGCTCTGACTACGCGTTTCTTTGCGTCGATGGCATGGGCCCGAGAACGCTGGAGATCGTCGTTGTGACCACACCAGGGCTTACTGCGGCACCCGTGCCTGGTCTGCGACCAGAGCCTAAGCGCGCACGCAGCGCGCGGGTGGTTCTAGTGTATATGTATATATACACAGATTTGTACAGTGGTATATATATATATATATAAATATGAGCGAGAGGTGGAGGGGGACACATAAATAGAGAGAGGGGGGAGAAAGAGAGAGGGAGAGAGAGAGAGAGAGTCAGAGAGGTGGAGAGAGAGATCTACATATATATATATATATAGAGAGAGAGAGAGAGAGAGAGAGAGAGAGAAAAGAGAGAGAGAGAGAGAGATAGAGAGCGAGAGCGAGATCAATGGATATCTATAGAGAGATATATATATATATGTACATATATGTATGGAAGCACAGGGGTCAGAGGGTACGAGAGAGAGGGAAGCACAGAGAGAACCAGAGAGAGAGAGAGAGAGATACACACACGTATGTATGTATATATATATATATATACATATACAGCTAAATGTAGAGATAGAGAGAAGGAGAGAGAGAGAGAGAGAGCGATGGAGAGACAGGTCGAAGTCGAGAGAAAGAGAGAGAGTGAGAAAGCGATAGGTACATGGATATCTATATATCTGTACATATACACACACTTGATGGGCCGCCAGGAGATTCGAGGAAGAGATGGACGTAGGTACGGAGAGGGACGGGGAGGGAGGGCGGGTAATGGGTGAGAGAGGCGGAGAGGGCGGAGTGAGAGGCATACGCGATATCGCACGATCGCGTGGTCGGAAGCGAGGCTGAGGGAGCAACGGTGCTCCGAAGAGAGGGGACCCGACGAGGCGTGCGACCAGATCACCCAGATCATGGCAAACGTCTCGGACTATCCGGGTGCCTGCGGCAAATTCCGCCGCCGCGCCAGCGCAGCAGCGCGGCGCGAAGGAGGTTCACTCAACACGCGTATTGGAGCCTCTCTGGGGCCTTATGGGGTGGACCTACACGGTGTTTTGGCGACTTCGTGGGCCGTTTTCGTTTCGATTTCGTTTTGCGGTAGAGGCGGATTGAAGACAAAACCAGGGAACACGAACACAAAACGAAAACGAACAACATCGGTCAGGTTCAGCCCAGTTGGAGCTTCCCTGGGGCCTCTTGAGGCCCTCTCGGGAGCCTCTTAGGTCCGCTCGGGGGTCCTTTTGGCACTCTCCACGTGGACCTTTGGCTTTTGGGCTGTTTTGGGGGCATGTCTTGGCCTCCTTGGGGTCCCCTCGGGCCGTCCCAGGGGAGCCCCTTGGGCCGTCTCGGTGCCCTCTTGGGGCCCTGCCAGGGTGCCTTGGGGCCCTCTTGGAAACCTCTAGGGCCGCCTTGGGAATTCGGACGCCAGGCAGGGCCAGTATGATAAGATCGTTCAGACATGAATGAAGCACGAGCAATTGTTTTGGGCTCTCGAGGGCCACTTGGGGTATCCTCTTGGAGCCCTATTGCGCAGTCTTGGGGGCCTCTTGAGCTCTTGAGGCCGTCTTGGGCCGTCTTGGGGCCCTCATGGAGCGACTGGAATGCTTCTTGGGTAGTCTTGGGGGAGTCTTGGAGGCCTTTTTTGCCTTATTTGGGCCAGCTTGGCTGTCTTGGGGCGTTTCCTTGTTCCCAACCATCCTGTGGTGTTGGGTCCTCGTTTTGAAGAGACGGTGCCCCGCGTTCCTCTCCTTCCTCCTCCCTCCTCCTCCGCCTCCTCCCCCCTCCCATCATCATCATCATCATCATCATCATCATCATCATCATCATCATCATCATCATCATCATCATCATCATCATCATCATCATCATCATCATCATCATCATCATCATCATCATCATCATCATCATCATCATCATCATCATCGTCACCCACACCCAATTCGGTACACCCCTCACACGTTTCGTGGCCCCATAGGGAGCTCCACCGAAGGCCCCAGTGCTGCCGCCGCATGCGTCCCCTACACCCATTTCGGCACACCCCTCACACGTTTCGTGGCCCCATAGGGAGCTCCACCGAAGGCCCCAGGGCTGCCGCCGCATGCGTCCCCACACCCATTTCGGCACACCCCTCACACGTTTCGTGGCCCCATAGGGAGCTCCACCGAAGGCCCCAGGCTGCCGCCGCATGCGTCCCCACACCCATTTCGGCACACCCCTCACACGTTTCGTGGCCCCATAGGGAGCTCCACCGAAGGCCCCAGTGCTGCCGCCGCATGCGTCCCCACACCCATTTCGGCACACCCCTCACACGTTTCGTGGCCCCATAGGGAGCTCCACCGAAGGCCCCATGGCTGCCGTCCGCATGCGTCCCGCACACCCATTTCGGCACACCCCTCACACGTTTCGTGGCCCCATAGGGAGCTCCACCGAAGGCCCCAGTGCTGCCGCCGCATGCGTCCCCTACACCCATTTCGGCACACCCCTCACACGTTTCGTGGCCCCATAGGGAGCTCCACCGAAGGCCCCAGGGCTGCCGCCCGCATGCGTCCCCTACACCCATTTCGGCACACCCCTCACACGTTTCGTGGCCCCATAGGGAGCTCCACCGAAGGCCCCAGGGCTGCCGCCCGCATGCGTCCCCTACACCCATTTCGGCACACCCCTCACACGTTTCGTGGCCCCATAGGGAGCTCCACCGAAGGCCCCAGGGCT